GATCGACAAAAAGGAAACAATTTTGTCATATTTGGTATATTTCTAATTAAGTATGTCCCACATATCTTAAAGCAATTACATCATTAGGTTTTTTACCTTATTTTAGAGATTTTGATCGACAAATACTCTACCCTACAGTATCTAAGTGGATTTTTAATTCTCCATGTTTCTTGGCTAATTACTCTGTCCATAATTTGATTTTTTAAGCATATATAAAAATATGTAAGTAGACATGTATCTTTTGAAATATTTCAGAGTATGAATAGGGTTTAGAATTAGAAAAAGCAAGTTTTTTTTCTATCACAATGCATCTGGATAGGGAAAATTACGTACTTTTTAAGACAACTTAAAAAACAAAAAACGTAATTTACAAAAATTCTATCATTCAATTTTTATTAATTTACGCTGAAATGCAAGTCCTTCAAATTATTGATTAACCGTCAAAAAAATTTCGAATGGTGAAGCTGACCTCAATATTGCATAGGACATCGTTAAAGAGGAGATAGGCATAACAAAAACGTGTCATGTTTATAATTTCTCGAGTACGGGAAAAACCATCCATGACGAAATAAGATATACCTACATAAGATTTCCGTTATTAGGCATACAAAAATTATTTTTGTGTTCCCCGTTTCTCAAAATATTTCATCATATACTGATTATGAACTGCTTTACATAATGATACCGCCCCTGTATTCACCGAGTATGATCTTGCTGTAGCCTACTAACAGATCGTGTATGACGTCACCGACTTGTTGGACGCGCAGTTTAGGGAAACAGAGGAGTGGATCAATCTTTTTCATAATTTGCTAATGTTTACAAGAATGTTAAAACTTTTTATTTCTTATATGAGATGGCAATTAAAGTAAAAAGAATTGTCAAAAATTTATACAAGAACTGATGCTTTTCACGTTTTGCACTATATATATATATATATATATATATATATATATATATATATATATATATATATATATATATATATATATATATATATATATATATATATATATATATATATATATATATATATATATATATATATATATATATACGGAGACTATGACCTAGTTAAACAGAGCCATGTGACCATGTGTCCTTCATCCCCTTAAGGGAGCAATTCTTGATCTTACTGGGAGGAAGCATTTTTCTTTTTCATGCAATCTCCATCTTTGTAAATATTAGACGTTCATTAAAATAAGTATGTATTTTAAATCATTCTTGATTTGTAATTTGACTCATATGTTGCATTTAATGGCCAATGTACTGTAAATGTAATGCAAGTTTGTAAATAAAAGTAATGCATGCATCCTGGATCTCAAACACTGACAACTCTCTTGTATTTTTTCACAACTCGGGTTATCATTGTAGTTCTAGTTGATGTACATCGTAGAATACCGAGTTTATGAGCAAGAGACGAGATCAACTGTGGATATTTGACGATGATTGATGTGAGACAATGGTATCGATGGATCCATAATTACTGTAAATTTTGGTTGTGAAAAGACCTGATTTTATTTTCAAAATCAAAGTGCCAAATGATAATTAAATGATTAAAAAGATTTAACCAAGAGACTAAGGAAACTTTTTAAGTATTAAATGTAGTTAAATTTTCCTGGAATATTTTCTTATTTTCACTACAATTTCCCTGCGGACTATAAAGTGAAAACATTGGTTAAAAAATATATGCTTATCATATTGTGTTTTGTCCAGTTCATAATCTAAACAATTTTGGAAGCAGAGAGTCAAAAGTGTCTGATGAATGTCAAAACATTAAGGTAAAAAAAATTAGATGAATATCGAAGTTAATTACCCTATCTTAAGAAGGTTGACTCAACTAGCACTACAGACAATTCAAATTATGAGCAGAGCCAACATCTTTAAACAGACTGGGATCAAGTGCCTTAGACTAGTAAGCAAAAATACTATAAACTATCTATATTGAAACTTTATCATAACTATTAAGAAAAAATACAGCATGTTAAAAAAAAAATTTGCTTACATATTGCATACACATTTTATACATTTGGGAAATTAAAGGAAACTGACTGAAAAATAAAAAAGACTAGTATGATGAATGATTTTAACAAGCACATGAGTTATCATCGAAGCTTCTATAGCTCACAAAACATAGTGTAATGCTTAAGACAATTTTAGAGGAAAAAAATCTGTATTTGAATTACATAATAGTGGGGTTATCAAATAAATTGCAGACGACACAAAGTAAATGTGGCGCGTCAATTAAAAACTTCCTTTATAACTTTTAAACCTTGTGAAAAAGATAACCGACATTTTTCTCGAGGAATGCAGTCATTTGATTTCAAAGCAATGCATACCCTTCTGTATCTGTTAAGCTGATTTCAGCTGATGTGAAAGAACAACGGTAGATGTATAAAAGCTTTTTTAAGATGCACTGAACAGAATCTAATTATTTAACGTCTACGTATGTAGCAATGAACAATTGTATTTAATTTCCAAAACGTGAATTGTAGTGATGACTTAACCTTTCATAGATTACATTCCTTCTCAGGGTACTATGTAAATCATTATCCTTATTTAAGGCGACTGAATAAAAGATACTTCTCCTCATTTTAATGTTTTGAAGTTTTGTTTTGTTTTTCTATTTTGTATAGTTGTTTATTTAATTGTCAAAAAATACCAAAAAATGATAACAAACAAAACAACCTAACCTTTAGATGGTACATTAAGTGAAGACAGAAAGATAGAAAAACAGAAGAATATAATGATTTCGATGCCCGATGATCTTTTGGTGCATAACTATATCTTAATGTCAGAATTGAAGATTTTTTCCACATTTTTTGCGCAATATATTGCATACTTAAGCTATACAAAATCTAGTATCTTTATAAATTTATACGATTTTTAATCAGCGATTAATTTCCCTTTGTTTATGCACTTATTTATATTTTTTCAGTTATTGACAACTGATGAATTCTCCCTTCCTGTATTTTAAAATCACAATTGTCAATAAAAAGATTTTTTTTAAAACCCCGATTTTTCTACATCATATTTCTTTTACATCATCCAATATTTATTTAATTAGACCATTTAGATTTTTTTTAATTGAAGGGGAATGTGGGTACAGAGCTGTACTTCTGGAATATAACAACTCAACAAATTGTAAAGATAGTGTAGCCGACAAGCTACAATCTGTTCATGTAGGATCTAAGCCAAAAAATCATTTAATTTACGATATCGTGTTCTTATGAAACAAAAGATAATAAATGTGTTGAAACTATTACTACAAACGTGAAGAACGGTTATCAATTAAGGATTTCATATCTATAAGGTAAGTTATGAGTTATTTACATTTGTACTTTTAAAAAAGACCGAGTCATACACACTCAAGTGCCCTTGACTTATAAAAAAAAAGATATCTGATACCAGTATCGTAATGTCTACCTGGTTAAGTGCAGATAACGTTTGTCTGCATTGCGAGGGTTCATTGATTAAAGTAGGTATTCATTCATTTTTTTTTAATGAAAAATAAAGCACTGTTAAGCGAATCACAGATAAACATATCGTTAATCGTTACAGACGCTTAAAAGTGATATACATATCGTTTGAAAGCTTTTGTTTACTTTTATTTGGCATTGCTTACATGTGAAATACATTGCTAACAAAACTTAAGTCATGAAATGATCTTTACAGTTAATATTCTTTAAAAACTGCTGTTCAGTAAATGTAGATCCAGAAATTTATCTCAAAGGTGATTGTAAAAATAACTTTATTATGTATTTAAACGAGACCGAATTAGAATTCTCAGATTTAAAATAATTCATTCACTCAGGACATCAGATACTTGCTGGATTACAGACGAGTGGCATACAATTTTACGTTCATATTTTAAAGCTATATATGGCGTATCTGAGCTAAAAAAAAATTAAAAATAGAGATTGAGTGTAGATGAACACGATATTTGTTATTTACGTTCAAATTAAAATTTCAACCGATTTTGAACTTGTATAACCCGACGTTTCTATACTTAAATTGACTTAAAACTGCGTCTGATATTTAAATGTGGAGTCGGTAAATAAATCGGTTATTGTTTTAAATTTATAATATCTATGAAATTAATTTAAATTGTGTAATTTAAACGAAAGTCCTATCTTGATATAAAGAATGAAAACAAATAGAACTTGTTTAATTTTAGTTAGTCAAAACTTATTAAAAAAAATACGCCATATATGACTTTAAAAGAAATCGTTTTTAATCTAGAAGGAACGTCTAAGTCTTAAATGGTAATAAAATACCCCCAACCAAAACGGATATATTTGAATATGATCATAAACTTTTTTACAATTTTTCAATAACAAATTTCTTGAATGTCGTAATTCGTATCCTTTTATTAATGAACCTTTCTGTGACTGTTGCAGTTAATGCAGAAAGAAGTTAACCTGCTTACGTTGATTGAGTATCTTTTTTTGGAAAAGCTGCAACATTAATTCCCATACTTACAAACAAGGAAAACTTTTTTAAATGCACCGAAAACAACGTCATACCTTCTACAATAGAAAACTCATTACCGCTATTTATCAACCTTGTTTTTATAAGTAACATAATCTTAAAAAAGAGAGCTTTGGCTTTTCGGCTTTAATTTACAATGAATGCGTTGCATAGGGATTTTGGTTCGATTTTGATGTTTGCATGACCTGCGGGTTATATTTTACAGTAACAGTATCTCATTAAATAAAAAATACAACTTAATGAATCTATTTGCAAAGGAAACCTTGAAGATCTAAACCCACGGAACCGCTTTTCTAGGAAATTTATGGAAAATGAAAAAAAATCAAACAAAGGAATATAATTCTAGTTTATTTTCACATATTTAAAGGTATCAAGCTCCATATAAGAATCAAGACAATAGTTTAGTATATCCGTGAGTTCCCAACACATTTGCACCTCGTCATATCTTTATTTCCTTTGACTTTCCTGGAAGAGCATCGATATCAGATATCTTTGATGCGAATATGTTGGCCTTTACATTATTAATGTACACGAAAAACAGATTTTTTCTCTTAGATTTCAGGATTCTCTTTAGGAAAAAGTCCAGGGTAATTGTTCTACAAAAGATTGCATTCATTTTCAATAATCAATCTTTTTACTCTGTCATTTACCTCCTTCTAGTAAATTGAAATTTACAAATATGATATTTTTCTCATGAAGATAAGCATGATGTGTTTACATATATAATACATGGAATATGATTTCTAGATATTTACATGTAGTTACCTTCCATTTGCATTTTTAATTACACCATTCAGACAAGTTTGTTTCAAGGGGGAATAAACCTTGTTCCCACAGCATGTATGCTTTGTTGTATTCATTAGGACATTGCTTGTACCTGTAATAAAATAAAGCATTGGAAACACTTGTCTTAAGTTTTGATTTATTTTATGATGCCAATACACTGGGGCTGCGTTTACCCGAAGCTCCATTTTCCTTACGAAATTTATTGTGAGCAAAATTAACATTTCTTTATATATATATACCAATTTTAAAGAAAAGCCTCTTTGAGTTATCTAGATGCATCATTAACCCGGACAATTTGCTTGGGAACTCAAGCATCTGGTTAAACGAGGCTCATTTATAATTATTTTAGATAATTATGAAAACTTGTCAATATATTTTCGATAGGAAAAATGAGGACAAAGTATTTTTTAACACAAATTTTGGCTTTTCTACAAAAAATGACGTAATACACTGCAAGTTGACTTACTATTTTGAATTTCAGAATAATTCCCACAGCTTATGACAATTTCACCATGGCATAGTTGTAATCTTGGGTTGTATGTCCTTTCTAGCATTGAAAGAAAAAAGAAAAATTGGATTAAGAAGGTTAGAAAGTATTAAAAGACATCTTTGCTTATTGAATTTATTTACTTTTGGAACTCATCACTAAATCTCTCTACATCTTCTCAGATCGCACGTCTATTTTTCCAGTCCTAACAATAAATAAAATTTCTCCTTTTTGTATATCTAATCGTTCCTACTGTCTGTTGATTACTTTAGTTTAATAATACTGAATTCTTTTGCCTCGGTCAAAATAAAAAGCCCAATATTTGTTTTGAAACAAAATCTATCATAAATATCATATTGATTATAGTTTCAAAAAGATGGTAGGCTTTGAAAGTCACTATGATTCTTTTATTTATTTATTTACCAAAAAACTCCATGAAAAACGTACATGTTTTCGCATAGCATATAAAAGTTGTTAAAAGAAATAAATAGTTTAATCGTCCATTTTCTTTAATAAATATTTTCAGAAAAAAGTTTTATAATACATTTTGTTTCAATGTACATCAACTGATCAATTTGCAAAATAATGTAATGTGGAAATGAAAGCAATGATTTGCAAAACGATATTTAATATAAAATGTTTATCTTGCCTCCACAACAGTCCAACTTTTGTCCTTTATGGTATTTATCGTGCACTCCTGACTTTCCACAACAGATCTGAGTAAAAGTATTGAAAGTTTGCTCACTAATTTCCTTGTTTTTCGTATACAGGCATCGTCGTGCTTTAATCACTGTAATAAAATGACAACATTCACAGTAAGATATTATGATTAGATATAATATTCTACACAATATATTGTTATTGCAAATTAATTATAACTCACCATAACCGAACGTGGATGGTAAAATTGTTACAAAGAAAAGCAACAAAACCGATTTATACTTCATTTTTCATGCGGATCGTTAAATTCTGAAATGTGAAAATCTTTTTATACTGTGTTGAAATGACGTTGAAACAAAGTGGGTAGATCGCTAAAGGAAAATCTGGATATTATTTAATTGGGAAAATCCACACCAAGGTGACAAGGTAAAAATAACAAACAGTCATCGATCTCGTAAAAAGAAATCTACAAACAATACAAATTTGTGAGGGGGGCATTGTGTGAATTTTTTATTACAAAACGCATTAAAATATTCCGTAGGTTTACATTGATAAACAGAAGAGTTTTTTTTTTTTTTTTGAGTCCTATTATAACTAGAGAGATGCAGAAAATACCTTGACTCATATACCGGGGCTTGTTTTGATACACTCGGTGGTAATTGAATGCGGACCTTGGAGAATGCAAATTGTGTCAACTTTTCACTGATATACACGTAGGCCTGTGTTTTGAAACTAGCTGACAAAAGTGTTTTTAAGCAATGTAATTGTCATAGATAATATCTGTACATACGTAAGATACGTATATCCATGGCTTACATTGTAATATCTGTAAAGAGTTTTTTTTAAGAAGATGAATATAAATCGTCGGATGTTTAATGAAATATAGATAAACCAGACCATTAACAAAATTAAACCATACACATAATGACCACAAATAAGAAGCTGATGCACTTTTCACAGTTAAATATTATCAAACAACTGATACTTTCTTAACAATATTAAAGACCATGGTCAGGATCTCAGAAAATGAATTTTTCGAGAGTGCAAAGTCACCAATGAAAGTCAATTATAAATGCTTGAGTAGAAAACACAAAATAGAGCGAGTTACAAAAACCGTAATTTTGTCTGTGTTACTCATCCTGTACCTTTTCACAATCGTTAAAAAAGAAGGAAAGTTCAGTCTTGATGTTAACTATGCTGTCATCTCGTTTTGTTCGGGGGCACGATCACTACTGTAATGATTTTCCCCTTAGATTCCAAAAAATCCCCTGACGTTCCCCTGTCTGTCCCTGACATTTTCCTGTCTCCCCCTGACTTTCTCCTATGATCCCCTGTCGTTGTCCCTGACTACCCTGTCTACTCCCTGACGTCCCCTGACTTTGCCCCTGTTACCACTGTCTAACCCCTGATGTCCCCTGACATTCCCTGACGTCCCTGTCAACTCCCTGATGTCCCCTGACTAAGTCCCTGACCACACTGCCAACCCCCTGTCGTCCCCTGACATTCATTTTGACCAGGAAAAAGGGTTAAAATATGTTTTGTTGCTATTTACTTGTGAGAAAATCGATACCTTACTCCTAGCAATTTTCAAGTTTTGTGAAAATGTAGATTTAATCATTAGTTTTTCTGTTTGAAATATCTTTAGCGAATCTTTCAAAATATTATTTTATTGATTGTTACTAGCTTTTCAGTTAAAATCTTAATAAGGATAAATGCCGTTACTTAAAAAAAAAAATAAATAAATTACTAATTTATTGTGTCTTGTGTAGCAGGAATGCAAATATACATATATTTTTATTTATTTATCTGTTTATTTATTTATTTGTTTGTTTATTGATTTTATTAATTCATGCATCTGTTTATTTATTAATTTGTCTGCTTATTTATCTATTCTTTTTTCTCAATTTATATATTCTATTTTTATTCAATCTATCTATTTAATTTATTTATTTGTTTTATTTAATTATCAATAAACAAATGGATTTATTTAAAATTTTTATTTATTTATTTTATTTTATTTTATTCAATTATTTTGATTTATTGATTTATTAAATTGAATTCATTTTGTGTAGTTCTTCATATACAGTGTCCGGGTAAAACAAATTAGCTTCAAACTATTTTGTAAGCATATTCAAATTACTTTTAATTCTTTTAATTTCATGATGGGTATCAAAATCATCGTCTTATTACACACAATCTGAATCTAGAATTTGTTTTATTGTTCTCTTATACTTTGGTAAAAAAAAATTTCCTCAAAAACTTGTCACGGTTGTGAAAGAAATAAAACCTGCAGAGTGGATACGGTCGTGCTGCCACAGAATAAACAGTGTATAGTGGTCAGTCAAAAGAACAATAGGTGTCTGATCTGTGTACCCAGAGTCACTGGTCAACTATCAACAGCTCGGAACTACTCTCACAGCCATGACAGTTTTTGAGGAACATTTTAAATTTTTTTACCAAAGTAAAAGAAGCAATAAAACAAATTCCGAATTCAGATTGTGTGTAATAAGACGATTATTTTGATACCCATCATGAAATTAAAAGAATTAAAAGAAATGTAAATATGCCTAAAAATAGTTTGAAGCATCGTTTGTTTTTCCATAAGACTGTTCATGGGGAACTACAAAAATAAATAGGAATTGAAAAAAAATATTTAATTAAAATAAAATGAATTAACAAAATAAATAAAGAAAGAAATATTATTAATTAATTAATTAATTAATGATTGAATAAAACAAATATATAAAAGAAAAGAAATGAATAGATTAAATATTAAATAAATAAACAGATAGATAAAAAAAATAAATAAATAGGAAAATATACAAATAAGTAAAAAAAATAAATAAAAATATTGATTTTGTAAGTAATTATTTGTTTGAAGTATCTTTAGTAAATTTATTAATTAATTTGAATTAAATTTATTGATGTATCTTTTTTATTTATGTCTTTGACCACTTATTTATCTATTTATTTTTTCAATCATTTATTAATTATATCTATCAAATTTATTTTTACGGATTTGTTTTATTTAATTTTTAATAAATAAATTAATCTTTTTAATTTTTTTTATTTATTTTATTTTATTTTATTTATTTCCTTTATTTTAATTTATTGATTAATTTTTATTTAATTCAATTTGTGTAGTTATTCATAAACAATCTCCGGGTAAAACAAATTAGCTTCAAACTATTTTGTAAGCATATTCAAATTACTTTTAATTCTTTTAATTTCATGATGGGTATCAAAATCATCGTCTCCCTACGCACAATCTGAATCTGGAATTTGTTTTATTGTTCTCTTATACTTTTGTGAAATAAAAATTTCCTCAAAAACTTGTCAAGGTTGTGAAAGAAATAACACCTGCAGAGTGGATACGGTCGTGCTGCCACAGAATAAACAGTGTATAGTGGTCAGTCAAAAGAACAATAGGTGTCTGATCTGTGTATCCAGAGTCACTGGTCAACTATCAACAGCTCGGAACTACTCTCACAGCCATGACAGTTTTTGAGGAACATTTTTATTTTTTTCAACAAAGTAAAAGAAGCAATAAAACAAATTCCGAATTCAGATTGTGTGTAATAAGACAATTATTTTGATACCCATCATGAAATTAAAAGAATTAAAAGAAATGTAAATATGCTTAAAAGATACTTTGAAGCATATTTTGTTTTACCTTACGACTGTTTATCCGAAACTCACAAATAAATTGAATAAAATAGAATTAATTAATTAAAATAAAATGAATTAAAAACTAAATAAATATATAATATTTATCAATTAATTAATAATTCAATATGGGAAATATATCTAAAAAGAATTATATGAACAGATTTAATTAATAAATTAGTCAATAAATAAAACAAACAAATAAATAAATACACGTGGATATATAGATAAACATATAAACAAATATAAATATATTTACTTGCCATTCATAACAAGACACAATAAATTTGTAATTCATTCTTTTCAAAGTAACTGGCATTTATTCTCCTTAAAATTTATCTAAGAGCTTCATGTAGTAAACTAAAACAATCAAATACAATCATATTAAGAAATAAATTACTCAAGATATTCAAACAAATAACAATTGACTAAATATATATTTTCACAAAACTTAAGAATTGCCAAGAGTAACGTATTTCTCACGAGTAAATAGCAACAAAACATATTTTAACCCTTTTTCCTGGTCAAAATGAATGTCAGGGGACGACAGGGGGTTGGCAGTGTGGTCAGGGACTTAGTCAGGGGACATCAGGGAGTTGACAGGGACGTCAGGGGACATCAGGGGTTAGACAGTGGTAACAGGGGCAAAGTCAGGGGATGTCAGGGAGTAGACAGGGTAGTCAGGGACAACGACAGGGGATCATAGGAGAAAGTCAGGGGGAGACAGGAAAATGTCAGGGACAGACAGGGGAACGTCAGGGTTTTTTTTGGAATCTAAGGGGGAAATCATTACAGTAGTGGATGGAATATAAATACAGTGAGAACAAGTTGAATAAACAATATGACATAAACACAATAAAATACTTATATCTAATCTTCTTGTCATAAATTATTTTATTTTGTTCATAAAATCAATTTTATATTTTATCCTAGGTGTGCAGAATGATGCAGAGTTAACTGCGGCTGACAGCTAAAATTTACTCGCATTGAGTCATGTTCTATTTCCGGTATTTAAGTACGCAAAAACTCTACATGCTTAAGTTGAATAAACAATATGACATAAACACAACAAAATACTTATATCTAATCTTGTTGTCATAAATTATTTTATTTTGTTCATAAAATCAATTTTATATTTTATGCACAACATAGTTTCTTTGCAATATTTTTGTATAATGGGGATCGCATTGTTCTTTCTTTTTTTAACAAAGGAAAGACAACTTTTTTTTTAATTTGTCGTGGTTTTTGCTATTATGGGCTGTTGATGAATATGCACTGTGAGATTGATCTCTTTTCGTTATTTTCGCCTTTTATACTTATTTTTTTTTTAAATTTACAGTGGTTCATTAGAGTAGCGCTGCTTTGATAAGCTTTCGATCACGCCATTGGTGTATTTATTTCCGAATATGGAACACCATCACTAACTTTATAGGATAAAACTATACATTCATTATGTCAACTTATCATTAGGTGATGTGAACATACCTTTACGTGATGTTAACTTTGAAGTGGTGTAAAATATCTTAACATTATGTTAACACTATATTAAACGAAGTAAATATATCCTTTCATTATGTCAACACATTATAACATGATGGCAGATGTTTATGGAAGCCCATTGAGGCCAGTTCAGACAAAAAAAAAATTGTTGCGTTTAATCGCAATAATCGTTGCGTTTAAACGTAAAAGATTGCGTTTAATCGCAATGTATATTGCGTTTAAACGCAAAACACTTTGGGTTTAATTGCAAAAGATTGCGATTAAATGCAATCTTTTGCGTTTAAACGCAATAACTTTGCGATTAAACGCGATAGTTTTTGCGTTTAAACGCAATACTTTTGCGTTTTAACGCAATACTTTTGCGTTTAAACGCAATAATCTTTGCGTTCAAAGGCAATAATCTTTGTGTTTAAAGGCAGTCATTTAAACAGTCATTTGTATCAAACCTTGCAGAGAACAATGGACCAACGCATACTTATATCTTTTACTTCTTTCTCTTTTTACTTATTAGGAAATTATGTGTTGTCTAGCTTTATAGAATCAGATTTCTCCCAGCAAACACTCTCTGAAAGGATAAATCACTAATAATTTATAGAGGAGAAAAAAATGTCGGGTTGTAAAAACAAAGGCAACCTAAGAACGAGGCATGTCTTAAACTTATTATTCTCTACATTCTTAATGAAGTTTTGGTCAGTTGCTCTGTTAAAAAAAACTGTCCCCTACGTTGCAGTCACAAGTTTAACCGATGTATAAGGGGATTTTTGAAAAAGACTGAGGAAGTGTTGGAATTATATACAACATGATGAAGTATTTAGACTTAAATGTACATTCATAACCCTTCCTATGGTTGCATACAATAAACACAAGAACATATTTGATGGATTTATATGAGGTCAAAATCAAATGAAAACACATTGATCGATGTGTACTACATGTATCAAATTGACAAGTGCTATTAATACCACTGAAACATTCTCTATAAGTTGTGATACACGTAAGCAATTGATCAGAGACGTCATTAAGAGTTTTAGGTTCTAATACATTTAAGACATTCAGGTTGTTAGGATGCCATTGTTTTACTACAATTTTCAAAAACTGGAAAATTTTGCAAAAAGACACAGAACAAATCGGATCTTCTTAAAGTTGAATCGGATCTTAGTACAAGTTGTGTCGGATCTTAGTACATGTACATGTAATTATATACTTTGACTAATTCATGTTTGATTTTGAAACTACAGTATCATTGTATTTAAATGCAAAACAAATCCTTATAAGGAAGGATTATTGCGTTTAATTGCAAAATTATTGCATTTAAGGAAAGGCCATAGTTTTTCGCTTCCGGTTTTAAATTTTATACACCGACTCTAGACTTCCGGTTATGACTCGGCTTTGGCGCAAAACATTCAGTCTGGTCATTTATCATAAATTTCGTGTGATTATATAAAAATACAAGAATGCCCCGGTCTAAAAAAGGAACGTTCGTGAAAGCTTCGTTCCTCCGGAGACTTGAGGGTCTAAGGAGAGCAAGAGAAGCCCGTGCGTTAAAAGGTAAACAGGGTAAGTGTCTGTATTAATAATTATTGTGTAAGCGTTCTGCTATGGACTGTTGGAATATGTAGCAAAAGATTCAATCATTTATTGTGTAAATATTAGATGTTGAAAATGATGGCCTATGCTTGGAGAATGATTCTTCCCCTGTTCTACGAAGTGTTGAGTGTCAAAGTGCAGAAAGTTCATGGCGTGTTGGAAGACGAATTGTTGAACTTGGCACTCTTGTAGATAATCTGAAAAGAGGTTGCGCCATGTGTGGGAATGCACTTCAGCTTGTCAACACTATAGGTGAAAGGAAATTTGGACTAGGGCAGGTATTTATTATTTTTTATAATATTGTCAATGACTTTGTATTTCAAAGATTTGTTTTTAAAGATGTTGTATACCCTTTACATTAATTTTTGACCAAATGCAGGTTCTTCAGATAAAATGCACACATTCCACCTGTGCCCATGTTAATGACATACCCACGGGCAGTAAGCATAGGGTTAAAGCAGATATGAAGCAATATGCTTGGGATGTCAACACAAAACTTGCTGCAGGTATAAATCAAAAATTTTATTTTGTAAATAAGCAGATAAAAATAAATTATTTCCAGTTATACAAAAGTTTACATCTGAAAGAACTATTTTGTTTTCATTTTTTTTCTGTGATATCTTAGGTATGCTAAATGGTGGTTATGGAATAACTCATGTAAATGCATTACTGGCTGCACTGAATATCCCAGGGATCACAAACAGGAGTCTAAAAAGCAGAGAAAGAGAGGTTGGGGAACACCTAGAGGAAATGGCAGGGCAGAGTTGTAATAAAGTTCTTCAAGAAGAAATGAAACTGTAATTTTATATACCAAATATTGATATTTAAATTTTGCTTTGTATTTACATGTTATTTGTTAATATTTGCACATTTGTGTTAATTACTTTGTAGGAGTGATGGAGACATCACTGTGTCTTTTGATGGTGCCTGGCAGAAGAGAGGTACTGGTAGAGGATACAATAGTCTTACTGGTATGCCCTGGTGATAATGTTACATGTTTTGATTCTCCCTCCTCAAGAAGGATTGAGATTTCTTATAGAGTAACATATTTTAATACAAATACATGTAGTTATGTACTAGCAGTATTTATCTTGTTACAGGTCATGCATCTCTAGTAGGAGAAAAAACTAAAAAGATAGTAAGTTTCTCTTCGAAGAGTAAAAAATGCAGAATCTGCTCAGCTGCATCAGGTAAAGGAGTTCCACCCAGAAAACACAACTGCCGAAGGAATTGGCATGGATCGGCAAAGGCAATGGAGCCAGCCATGGCCTGTGAAATGCTGAGTGCAATCCAAGATGAAGGGTGCAAGGTAACTTTTCATTGAATGTTTGATTCTTATTAGAGCAATGCCAAATATGTCTGTAAAGTTGACTACATTATATATTAAAACTTTGCTGTTTTAATTAAAGTACATATTTCCAATGTATTTTGCAGATACGAACTTTAGTCATGGACAATGACTCAACAACTATTGCCCATGTAAAAGCCACTGTGGACCCAACCATCAACAAAAGAGCTGACAAAAACCACACAAAAAAAGGTTTCACAGGAGCTTTGATTGAGCTTGCCAATACTCACAAAGTTTTGAAAAATCAAAAACTTAGAGGTCACATTGAAAGGTTTGTGTTTTTGAAGTGTAATATTTCAGTAAAATATCCCTTGATCAACTGTGGTCCAACAAAAACCTTGTTAATTGTAAGTGCGATAGCTAGTTATAAAATAAGTATCTTTTCCTTCTTTGTTTTAGATGTTTTACATATTGTGTACAGCAAAACAGGGGCAAGGCTAAAGAGCTTGAAATTGAACTTGGCAAAATTGTTCCACATTTATATGGTAAGTGTATCAATAAAAAAGTCATTACAAAATTAGGAATGAAGAGTGAAAATATTTTAACTACTTTTTTTTTTGAAGGTGAACACGAATACTGTGGAACTTGGTGCCAGAGTAAAAAGACTGACTATAAACCACGAAATTTGCCGTATGGAAAGCCTCTCTCCTGCACCTTACTTCGAGAAGCTTTAGAAGGTCTATTCAAAAAGTATTGCTGTAAGGCAGAAGAGCTAGCCATGATGGGGTCCACCCAAGTCAATGAGAATTTCAACCATATGGTCTCCACTAAAGCCCCCAAAAGATTGTAAGTACTTTGGTTTATTTCTCTTTGTTTAAAACAAAAATTCTAGGTATAATCTTTTAAATTAAGTCTGAAATATGAGATTCAAATTGCAAAAAAATGTGTTGTTAGGTTTTATGGAGGTTCAGAAAGTCTACATGCTAGACTCTCAGCCACTGTATGTCAAAAGAATATGGGTTATGGTTACATATCAGAGGTAGAAAAATGTGTTAAAAGTTTCAAGTTGATCATTTTTAAATTTGTTTTTCTCTACATTTATTGTTTGTTATGTTTTGTTTTCTTTCTTTTTTATGGCAAACCTAAGAAAGTTATGTTCACATGTGTTTAGTGTCCTAGAAGTTTATTTTGATTTTAATGGTTTTCCACAATAAATATTATAAACTATAAATACATGTAGCTTTTAAAAAAGATGTTTACAATCATGTTTATCTAAATAAACATGTACATAAAGTACATAAAGATATGGATTTACTAAGAAATTCACATTCAAAACTATAATCCCTGTTCTTATTAACCGTTTGATTTGAATATGGAACACTCACAAAATTAAAAATTTACTGAAACATGAATTATATTTTACAGTTGAACAAGAAAATGGCATTGTCACCAGGCAATTTCACAATGAAACATACCATTAGACTTGCCAACAAGCTCAAACGGAAGCGTCTGATGCAGAGTTTACCCACCACAAAGAAACGTCGATTGGAATTAAAAGCTGCCAGGTTGTCTAAAGAAGCAGCGAGGAATGTACTAGAAGGTAGTGCTTCAGTTAAAACAGAATTGAATGTAATGTTTTACTTTGATTTATTGTGTATTTTTCACACCTTTAGAGAAGCCATTGCTAGTGGAATTTCAGTATTATTTACTTGAATTTTGTTTGTAACAGGTCAATCATATAAGTCAGATATTGGTCTTGAGGAGGATGTTGATCTTGATGACATTGATCCAGAGCCTCTTAGGATTTCTCCAGAGAGCAGCTGCTTGATGTATTTTGATTTAGAAACTACTGGACTTAGTAAGATTTTTTTTTAGTTTACCTTTTCCCTACTAACAAATATAAATATTCTTTTATTTTCGAGTTTGGTATAAAATATAATTAATAATTTTGCTTTCAGGTAGAACATCTGACATCATACAGATTGCTGCAGTTTGTGAAGATAGGTCAATCAATGTTTATCTCAACCCCAGTGTACCAATCTGTAAAGAAGCATCGGCTGCAACAGGTCTCAGATATGACATGGGACAGCTCACTCTTCATGGAGAGCCTGTGCCTTCAACAGATCAAGTCAGTGGTTTGACCCAGTTTGTAGACTTTACAACAGATTGTGCTTCAAAACCAGTCATTGTGGGCCATAATATTCAAAACTTTGATCTTCCAATTCTTCAATATCACTTGCAGCGACATGGTCTACTTAAACGATTTGATGAAAATGTTTTAGGTTTTTTGGATACATACAAACTTGCACAGAAAGTGTTTGACAAGAAAACAATGGGAAATTTTAAACAAGAAACATTGGTCAGATTGTGTTTAGGGAAAAGTTACGATGCACACAATGCTCTAGCTGATGTTTGTAGTTTACGAGAACTGTACGAGTCAAATTTAGCATTCAAATGTGAATCTTCAGATATATTTAATATGAATTATTATAATGTCAAGTCCTCACTAATTCCATTGATACAAAGCAAAGTAATTTCTACACTGATCTCTAAAAGGCTTACACTAACAATCTAAGCTTAAACAAGCTAAAACTCATACATAAGCGTGACCCCCATTGTGGGATTCAGACTGTCTTTAGTGAGGTTGTGTCTGGTTCAAAGACACCAAGAATTACGAAGTCTCAGAAGATCATTGGCAGTGTTGTGGAGTATTTGAACTCTTGTTAGTTCACATCATAAGTATTTTCATTCAACAAAATTATTTGTTTATGAGCTATACTTGCTAGAATCTACATGTATGTTTGTTACACTACATTTATTCTCTTTATGTGTATTAGATTATAAATTGTTAAGAATGTGTACTTGTATGTAAAAAAAAAATTGTGAAAAAAGGAAGGGGTTGCCCCCCCCCCCCCCACCACCACCCTACCCCTTATGTTCTAAGTGTCTAGAAGGACCAAAATTTCAGTATTTTTTAATATTCCATTTGTATTTCATTCTAAGACTGTATTTGTTTGTTACATTTTGATATTTTTCACAGTGTGTAAAATATAACTGTAAAACATGCTATTACCAAAGTGGGGGTAGGGGTATTCGAGATATGATTTAATAAAATATCTCTGGTCTACTGTGATAAAATATGTTTTTTTGTTAACCTTAGATATAATTTTAGATATTTTTAAAGAAAAAATGGCATGTTAACAATATAAATTTTGGGACTTTTGAAAATAATGATATTTTGTGATTTTTTTTCTGATGGATTTGAGCAGTATAAATGTTAAATGTGCATGTTTTCAATTGAATATCTCGAAAAATTCTCTTTGTAGTTAATTATCTATTAGATTTAATGAATTATAGCACAATACAGTGTGCTTTGGTGCATATTTGAATAAAATATGAAATTATACATTCTTGTGTTAGAATTTGGCTGTTGAAGTTGGGGTAAGGTATATGTGCTCTATAGCACATAGTATGAAAATAAGCGTGCAAAGGTATGTGTAATATGGGTTTTTTTGTTGGCTCAAGAGTTGTTTAAGATATTTAAATGAAAAAATAAATTGTTTGACAGAAAATTCTAATAGTATTTACCTACCTTAATCGCAATACTATTGCATTTAATCGATAAAGTATTGCGTTTAATCGCAAAAATTAGTGCGTTTAACCGCAAAAATTATTGCATTTAAACGCAAAAATATTCTTGCGTTTAAACGCAAAAAGTATTGCGTTTAAACGCCAAAGTATTGCGCTTAAACGCAAAAGATGATTGTGTTTAATCGCAATAATAATTGCGTTTAAAGGCAAATCACTTTGCGTTTAAATGCAAAATATTGCGATTAAACGCAATCTTTTGCACTTTAACGCAATAGTTTTGCGATTAAACGCAATAATTTTTGCGTTCAAACGCAATAATATTTTTGTGATTAAACGCAATAATTTTTGCGTTTGAACGCAATATTATTTTGCGATTAAACGCAATAATCTTTGCGTTTAATTGCAATAATCTTTTGTTCAAATGCAATCATTTGTATCAAACCTTTCAGAATAAAACGGATCCACGCATACTGTTATATATTTTATTTCTTTCTCTTTTTCACTTATTAGGATATTGTATATTGTTTAACTTTATAGAATCAGATTCCTCCGAGCTCTCTGAAAGGGTAAATCGCCTATGTGAATTTATAGAGGAGAAACAAAAACATGTTGGTTGTAAAAAGGCAACCTAAGAACGAGACATGTCTTTAACTTTAACTTTAGATCACTATATTCTTAATGCTTACAATCACAAATCACTTTTCTATTTTGTTATTTTTTCTACTTCGAAACAATTTCTGCACACAATTAGAATGGATCTTCTAAATAAAAGACCAAAGAAGAAAAATGGTTAAAATACTATCCCCCACGTTGCAGTCACAAAGTTTAACCCATGTATAAACGGGTTCAGGAAAAGAAAAAGGAAATGCTGGAATTACGCACAACATGATGAAGTATTTAGACTCAAATGTATATTCACAACTTTACCTATGGTTGAATACAGTAAACACAAGAATATAGGTGATGGAATCATACAAGATCAAAATCAAATGAAAACAGATTGATCGAAGTTTACTACGAAATTGACAAGTTTTTATTAATACCACTGAAACGTTCTTAAACAATTGTGATACGTAAGCAATCGATCAAAGGCTTCATTGCCTGTAAGAGTGTTGGGTTCTAATACGTTTAAGATATTCCTGTTGTTAGGATGCCATTGTTTTACTACAATTTCAAAGACTGGAAAATTTTGGAAAAAGACACAGAACCAAACGGTTCTTTAAAGTGTTGGATCCTAGTAATTATAAGCTTTTGCTAATTCATGTCTAATTTTGAAACTACATTATCATTGTGTTTAAATGCAAAACGAATCCTTAAAAGGAAGGTTTATTACATTTAAACGTAAAGATTATTGCGTTTAAACGCAAAAAAATATTGCATTAAATCGCAGAAGTAATGCGTTAAATTGCAAAATTATTGCGTTTAATCGTAATATTATTGCGTATAATCGCAAAACTATTGCGTTTAATCGCAATATTATTGCGTTTAAACGCAAAAATTATTGCGCTTAATCACAAATATATTATTGCTTTTAAACGCAAAAAATATTGCGTTTAATCGCAAAATTATTGCGTTTAAACGCAAAAGATTGCGTTTAATCTCAATCTTTTGCGATTATACGCAAAGTGTTTTGCGTTTGAACGCAAAATACATTGCGATTAAACGCAATCTTTTGCGTTTAAACGCAATAATTATTGCGTTTAAACGCAATAAAAAATATTTTTTTTTCTGAACTGGCCTCAACGGGCCTCCGTACAAAACTTTATTGCGTGAAATAATTTTTTCTTTAAAACATTTCATTTCTCTATGAAGTGATGTCAAAATTGCATTGCGTAAATTAAAAATATCTTTACATATATTCTATAATTAAACTAAGCATTACGCTAGTTCAGAAGTTATCTCCATATATTTTATTCAGAAGTCCATTTCGCTCGCTCCGTGATCGGGAGGTCGTGAGTTCGAATCTCGGCCGCGACAGACCTAAGTCGATAAAAAATAGGTAGCAACTGTTCCTTCGCCATGCGCTCGGCACTTTGGAGTGAAAGTTGCGGGTCTTTCGGATGAGACCTTAAAAACCGAGGCCCCGTGTCACGGCAGGCGTTGGCACGATAAAGATCCCTCACTGCTCAATGGCCCTGAGTGCCGAGTAAAGGTCAAATTTGAAGCCCTTCACCGGTATATGGTGACGTCTCAATATGAGTGAAAAATTCTCGAATGGGACGTAAAACAATATACAATCAATCAATCAATCAGAAGTCCATTTCTTGATATGAGCGTATCTTAATATTACACTGTTTATCTTTTATTAAGCTTATGTCAATACTTTATACCGTTGTGTGTGTGAAAATTACATAATGTGAACATATCTTTGTATTATATCAATACTTTATTACACGATGTAAAAACGTCATTCCATGATGAGAATATATAGTAAGGTTATGTTAACTCTTTCTGATATGATGTTAAATACCTTCATATTCAATTCGTCGATCCTAAAGAACTCACGGTGCAGGGGTCAGGCTCCGCAAAAGTATGTGCGAAAGATTTCTTTTTTTTTTTACAGTGTAATTTTTCTCTCCCTTCCTTCTTCCTTTTTCTTTGTTTCCTTCTATTGTGTTTTCATTTTCTTATGACGCCAATATTTTGTACCTGCCTAATAAGTGGAACCTATATCGACCAATTAAGTTTGAAGGGTATGGAAATCAGGAAAACCCCTATGCATGTTGCGTGTCTGAGGATATATAAAATAAGACTGAATAAAGACAGATCTTTGTTAATTTAACAACTGATAGAATAGAACTTCCTCTTACTATCCATTTCAATAATATATCATATCAAATTTTCTCCTGGGGTCCAGCGTAGGGGGTCGAAATTTCTATTTTTGGCCCTTGAGCATTGTTACGCTATTGCTGTAGAAAGGATATGTATCAATTTGTGAACACATTTTTATTATGTCAATATTCGGTATGTGATACCGAACGTTTGGTACGTTTTCAGTGAATTTATCTTTCCATTTGTGTCGTTGAAAGGGGACGTAAATGCGTCAATTTGGTATAGAGTAGACGTGGACGATTGTGTTTTCGCGACAGGTAGGGGGATCCTGATGAATTAGGGCGAACCAGTTATTTTTCCAACCATCTGCCAGCCCCCATTATTATCAAATGACCGTCCAGTTGAAACATTTAATGGGTGAAAATTGTCAGATTAAACGTCATAGAATTTCGGCGTTGAAGAAAAATAATTTTACGTCAGTTAATAAAGATTCCACAGTAACATACGTAATCCTACATAAGTTTAAACTTGATATACAATTGAGGATTAATCAAGTCTAGCATAATATATTTTAGTGCATAATCCTTTCCTTAGTATCTTTTCACTCACCTACCATATGCATGAGACATAAAATATCAAATATATCATTTTTGAGGGTGATATAAACCGGAAATAAGTATACAGAAGGTATACTTGGCACAGTTTTATATTATGAATTCAAAATATTTTAATGCTACGGATTCGCCTCTCTGTAATGATAAATTCCGATGGCTCAAATTCAAATTTTAAAAGAAACCAAAAAAAAAAAAAAAAAAAAAAAGAAAAGAAAAGAAAAAAAAAAAAAGAAAAAAAGAAAACCTATCATTTATTTGCATGATCATATATTACATGCACATATACTTATATTTATATAAATGAATAGTATATCAGATTCTAAGAAAATGATAAACAAATACTTGATATTGCTGATAATTCTCAAGGATGTCGGAAATTGAAAAAATGACATTGAATATGGTGTTTAAGTTACACTTTAAAATATTTTGACTACTAAATATTAACAGCTTGTTGGACATTGTTATAAGGTATCTTCTTAGGAGATAAGATTTTCATGAAGATTAGACCGTCATTACAGCTGTTATGAAAAAAAATACGGAAATGGTAAGATGAAGTATATTAAAAAAAATTGTGAAATCAGACTCTTACAAAGTGGCAAGAACAAAGTGTGGTTTGCAGCATTACTAGAATAAGAAATTCAACATTTTTTAAGGAAAACTAAAATCTAATGATAATGCTTATGAAAAGTAAGAATAACATGGTTTAAAAATGTCAAGTACAAAAGTTATTTGCACAATTGCATAAATTCA